TGGTGGTCGTAAACCTTCACATATATCAAAAATCAAACAATGATTGTGAGCTCTATCATCAAATGGTGGATGACCTGGAAATATTTCCCACAACGTTATAGATATCAGATTCTTTGTATCAATTTTGCCTCTAAGTAGTTCAGGTGCAACATATGATATAATTCCATAGACTATTTGATGATTCATCATCAACTGGTCCACATAATCCCAAATCTGTAATGTAACAACCACTTCCTTTCAATAATATATTGCCACTATGTAAATCACAATGTATTAAATCTTTCTGATGTATCTCATTTAATGCATTGCATAAATAATCAAAGATTCCAATTCTGTCTCTTAATGCTAAATTTAAATATTTTTTTTGCAAATAATCCCTTAAATTTCCTTCTGATAAATAATTTAAAACAATTGCATAACTCACATTATCTGGAAATTTAGTTATACCATAGCATTGAACAATCAGTAATGCCTTAATTTTATAATAATTTGTTGCCTATAATTGAATATAAATCAATTAGTATTATATAACACAGTATTGTTTATTTTTGTTTTAAATAAACAAATACCAACCTCATTAAAAAGCCTTTTCCTGATTACTTGAATCATTTAAATTTTTTAATACTACATCTTTCTCTCCAAGATAATTAAATTCCTTTTTATTTTCATCATAATCAACTATTCTCCCTCTTGTCCATTCTGCAATATAAATTGAACTAAATCCACCTTCTGTTAGCTTTGTTACTTTTTCAAATTGCTCAAAAGGCATCCATTCTAAAATATAGTCTGGTAAAGATGATTTCATTTGACATTGTTGAATAAAATCCAATTATGTTATTTTATAAGAATTTAATCACTGATTTTTTGTGTTTCCATCATATCTTGTCGCTCTGTTTATTCCTTCTGACTCTTTGTTTTGTTATAATTTCTTATCTTCTGATGAGCCATTGTTTTGTTATTATTGCCAATGTTTTACGAATATTGTCTTGTCTCATCCCCTAAATGAAATTTTGTTTATGTGGTAATACTAAAAAATTTAGAACATGTGACTTTTTATTTGTGACTTTGGGAATTGGGACTATTTGGGTTTTGAATTTCGGCAAGTATAGTTGGATTTCGTCGAATTGAAGGGATTAGATAGAAACGTAGTAAAATATTAGATAATGACAATAATAATATAATAACGATAAATAAAAAGAAATTTATCTAATCTTAGCATTAGATAATTAAAATGCACATAAAATGATCAATGAATTTTATTTATACGAATGTTTTTTGTTTATTCTTGCATAAATATATCATTAACTTCATGAAACAATTGATCCACTTCTTCTTTCTTGTCAGAATAACCTGCAGATTAATCGATTGATTAATAATAGAGAAATAAATAAAATAAATGAATGAATGAATTCAAATATTTCACCCCATTTTGATAACAAGTCTACTAAGCCTTTTATTTGAATCCACCAAGCTTTAGTGCTTTTACGTCTATCCATATCAGTTTCTGGCAGTAAATCAATAACAGGCTATGTATACAAATATATATATTTATGTTAAAAATATTAATTGTTAAATATCGTTTTTATCCTGTGAAACAAAAAATATAAAATAAAACAAAATTTTCACCCGATAAACGACATGTTCACCATCAATTCCAATCACAGCAGCAGATTCTTTAACATTGGTGTAAACCCTTGGTTTTGCAACGGAAGTTTGAGGTGGCAGTAAATGTGATGATGGTGATAATAACTTTTTTGATGTAGCAGTAATGGTAGAAGTTGAAGAAAACGCATGATTTTCCAAAAATTTAACACACGCTACCGCAAGTTTAGTTGCTCGAATACGATCTAAAGGTGATGGAGTAGCACCTTGCTGAATGTGACCTAAAATACTTGTTCTGGAATCAAATAGTCCATGAGCTTCAGTTTGAATAATATCAGCTATTACATTTGTTGTATAGGTAGTAGACACACATTCATTTCTATATTAAATAAATGGTAAATAATTAAAAATAATAATAATTGTATATTCCATAATTATGAAGCAAAGTATTTTACCTGAGAATTAAACGTCCTGAACCTGCACCTTTTTTATCTTCACTAAATCTTCTATTCAAATGATCAACATCCGATTGAAGAGTCTTTAAAGATAATCCTACTTCTGGAATGTATGTACTTGTTGCTCCAACCTATACATTTACAAATATACACATATATATAACATTTATAAAAACATACATTTATTTATTTTGATCTGGAAAAAACGTTAAAATTATTATAATAATGCATTTACCGCAAGTCCGGCCAAAACCGTCAAATAACCACAATAACCGCCATGTAATTCAACCACAAAAACTCTTCTTCTGGAAGCAGAGGCAGATTGTTTGATTGTATCACAACAGTCAACTATAGTATTTAAACTCGTATCACTGCCCAAGGAATAATCTGTGCCAGGAACATTGTTTGATATGGTAGCAGGCAAACAAATCATAGGAATACAAAATGCTGGATAAATATTCCGAGCATTATTCAATTTGATAAGCGAGTTGTAAGCTTCAAAACCTCCAATCAAGAGTAAAGCATCAATTCTGTGTTTTTGAAATTGGTATGCCACCATTCCAATATCTGTATCAGGTTCACTTCGATTGGTGCCAAGTTCTGAGCCACCTTTAGGAGTCCAACCATCAACATCTATCCAAGAAAATTCTCGGAGGTTGTCTTCTAAAAGACCCTTGAAACTATTAAATATTGCAACAGGAATATGACCTCGATTAAGTGCATATCGAACAGCTGCAGCTGTTGCTGCATTCATTCCACTAGCTGGCGCACCAACATGGATTATTCCAATACGAAGATGCTAAAAAAATACATGATAAAAATTAGAAAATATTAATATAAATAAGAAATTTTATTGACAGTTAATTTAACCTTAGATTCTTCTAATTTAGATGCATAGCCATCAGTGAATATGACTGCTTTGTATGCATCAAAAGCATCGATAAATTCTGAATCACGTAATTCCATAGCTTGTTTAAAATCCTTTTTTTCAACAGCCTTTGCAATTTGGTGTGTCTGAACAAAATAAATAAATAAATAAATAAATAGATTTATAATAAATAAATAAATGATTCATATAAGCATCATCACATACTAATTTAACTGCTTTCATTAAAGGTTCACATGTAATCTTGTTTTTTTTAATTCCAATCATAGGTGATTCACTATCAGGCGTTGCATTAAGAACTGCTTTTACTGCTTCATAACCTTGTAAAGTTGCCTTTTTTTAAAAAAAAAGTTTTTTTTAATAATGATAAATTCATATATTGATATAAATTACTTATTACTTACAAGATTTCTATCAAAGACACATGGTCTTCCACCACGTTGTATATGACCCAATGTTGTAACTCTGGTATCAAGACCCATATTATTTTTTAAAAGATCTTTGATGTAATCAGCTTTTATTGGTTGCAAGTTTTTATCAATAGCACCCTCTCCAACAATCACGATAGTTCTAAATTTTCCAAGATTACGATGCTAGGAATATGCATTAACTTTGAATTAATAATAATTTAAATCCATTTTTACAAAAAAAAACTAATATATTTATATACATTTTTAATAACTTGACACATTTCTTCTTCCCAATTATCTGATGATGGTGGACTTTCAGGAATAAAAACAAAATCTGAATTGGTACTATATAATTTATTTTATAATTCAAAATATATTTTGATGAATCTATGCCAAAATAAGTTGAAAATCACTCATAAAAAAAACATCTCTTAATACCTAATTGCTGCCATTAATGCCAACCAACCACAATTCCTTCCCATCACTTCAATGATAAAAGCACGTGAATGACTATAAGCTGTAGATGAAATGCAGTCAACAGCTTCACAAATTCGATGTAACGAGGTAACAGCTCCAATAGTCAGATCAGTTGATGACATATCATTATCAATTGAACCAACCATTCCTACAATTGTTAGATTATTATGAGATGCTGCCTCTTCCTTTGTAACTCTTCCTATCCAGAGAAATTATTATATTTTAATATTAATGCTACTAAGAATCAGATAACATTTCATCATTGATTATTATTACCCAATTTAACCAATTCTTCTATCAACCCAGGCCATTCTGATCTAAAAATATCTGCGCCAGTCAACGAACCATCACCTCCACACACAATTAATGAATCTATTTCATTCTTAATCAAATTGTATGCTGCTTTTAATCTGCCATCACGTTCTTGAAATTCTTTACAACGAGCAGTTTTTATAAGTGTACCACCCTAATAATATATGATTTTACAAAATTTGGAATGAAATCAATAATTTTTATTTAATCATAATTTAGAATTTAAAATTTAATTAAAATCTCAACTCACTATTGCCAAATAACCCCTAACATCACCCCACCCAAACTTTTTTATTTTGTCGCCACCTTGAACCAAACCTATATTTGTAACGTAATTTTTTTATATAATCATAAAAATGCTTCAAAAAAATGATAAATATATTAATATATATATATATATACATGTATATACAGTACATGTTATTACCTTGATAACCCTCAAAAATTGCATATGGTTCACATCCACGTGCAATAGCAACTCTTACTATTGATCTAACAGCGGCATTCATTCCAGGTGAATCACCACCACTCGTCAATATTCCAATTCTTTTTTTTTTATCATTCTTTATAATTTCATAGTCCATGGTTGGTTATATCAAGAAAAAATCAAAGAATTATTTTTTCCCGACTATAATATATAAGACAAATAGCAGCTCTGACGTTATCATTACATTTGTATTAGTATCAGTCAGCATTATAATAATAATTAGTATTAGTACGTTAAAATTTTCAGGGGTTGAAATTTTGGCCAATGACAATATTTAGTATTGCTATTACGGTGCAGATCATCTATAATCATTAATTGCTTATATATAGTAACAATTGGTCAACTTCAAAATACTAAAACAAAAAAAAATTATATCATTTTAAAAAATTTAACCGATAAGTTTTATTGTTCATGACTCAAGCTTCAAAACTTATCGGCTGGTTTTTCTTAAACTGAAAATTGGCAGAGCCTTAGCATTTTGAAAATTCCGAATTTTGTTATACATTTAAAGAAATTGAGACTAAATAAATTTCGTGTAACAACTTTTTTTTCAGGATATTTTCTACAACATACATTTAATTTATTTGATTTATTTGATTTTTTTATTAATAAATAAAAGTTCTTTACAACAAAAAAGTTTAACATTAAAAGAAAATCATTACCAAATTTGGTCATAAGATTCAAAATATTGTAACACGAAAATTATTGTTTGTACTTCCGAGCATAACTTTCAAATTTAAAAAATTATGAAAAGAAAATTTGAGACAAATTTTTTTTTTAGATTAATAGACTCCCTTTAAAATCCAATGTGTGGATCACATAATATTTCAAAAATTTTAACTTTTGAGTATAGATGATCCGCATTGTAAATTTCGACTAGCTCACATCTATCATATCTAAATTTGGCGATATGAAACCTAAAATCACGTGAAGTACTACACAGTGAGTCTCGGTATAGGGACTCGGTATAACGGATTTGAAGGTTTAGCGGATAAATTTTCAAAACCAAATTTTTCTATAATTATTATAATATAATATTAATTAGAGGTTGGAATTCGTTTTTTTAAAGGTCTCCTGGAACCACCACTTAAATCATTGGAACTTGAAGCCAATGAACTATTGGACCTTGTATTGGAAGTGTTTATTCATTCACGTGTAAAATTATCATCAACAACACACTACTATTGTCTCATCATCATATTGATGGTATTAATACTCTCCTGCATAAAAATTTTCCATTTTGAATGGAAAAACATAATTGGTCAGGCAATAATAATATTGGCATAGTATTAGTAGTATTAGTAGTCAACTATTAGTTGTTCAAAAAAAGTTTAGTCGACTATTTTAGTCAATTCCAACCTCTACTATTAATATGTTTATCATGTTGTGTTGTATTTTTCATCATTTCTGTTTGATTATTTTGTAAAAAATCCATGTATTTTTCCATGTGTTTTCAGTATATTTTCAGTATAAAATTTTTTTATAGAACAAGTTATAATTACATAAATAAAATATCCTACAATAAAAAAAAATCATATAGTGTAATGGATAAGATGCAAACATTGGTACAGAGGTAAAGTGGTTCAATCCTTCAAAGAAAAAAAAAATAAAAAAGCCGGGTTTCAAATGTGTAAGAATTCTAATAATGGAAAAACAGAGTATAATCACGGAATAAATTTTTTACAGGGTTGAGATTATTTTAGCATGAAAAGACAGAGTACATCAAGAGCTTTCAGAAAACATATGGTTTGTATGGGTTTATTGGAGAAGGAAGAAATTAAAAGCAAAAAAAGGTTTTATAAGTTATTTATTATAAGAAATTTACAACATTTTTTTTTCACATTATTGTTTTCTAACTTTTGTTACAGTATATTAATAATGATTAGACAATATATGAAGATACAATCTTTTAATTGGAGTTTCTACTAAGGTTTCTGGTCCAAACTGTTTTCTCAAAGCCCAAACTAGTTTGGGCAATTTGGGCTTCTCAACATT